AAGTCAAAGGAAAATAATAAGTGAAAAAAAAACAAGATTTTCCAAAACTGGAGTTTGTTAAATTATAAAAGATATGGAGACAATGATCATTTGTTTTTAAGTGAAGGCATCATGAATATTGACAAATACAAACAATATTTATACATCACACAACACCCTATGAGAAGTATCTGATTGGGAAGAAATTCGTTCTAGAGATCACGACCCCAAGTACACTACTGAGAAGATCACAACATATTTATCAAACAAAGAAGCTGCTGGAGTCCTAAGAACAACAGACTGACCACCCTAGAGTCCAGACCTCAGCATCATTGAATGTGTTTGAGATTACTTGGATCATGAGAAGCAGAAAATGCAACCCACTTCTGAGCTCTTTGGAAAACTGAAAGCAAGTCTCCCAAAAAGAATGAAAAAATTAATAAAGGCAAAGTGTGCATACACTAAATATTCTGATCCTGAAAAATGAATAACTTATTTTACTTTACACTTTAATCGCTGTTCCGACTGGAAATCATATAAATGAACAGTGGTCTCTGATGTTTGCACAGTAATGTATGCATGAGACACACCCAAATGCATGTACACATGCATGCATGCAAACAAACATGCACCCCCACCTATGCATACATGTACACAAACACACACACTGTACAAACACACACAAAGTGTTAAATACCAACAATGACAAAGAGATAACTACCCTATTATTATTTATTTTGGGTATTTAATCTACATTCATGTCAAATCCATTTATTGAACTGACTGGGAGAAAAAAACAGTTAATTCAAGTTTGGATCTGTGCATTTTCATTAAACACTCCTAGTTCGACCTTAAGATCTGAGCATGCATATGGTCCTATACGGTCCTTATGCTTACAGTAAACTAAAACCCACACATAACCGAACTTTCACTGATCCAAAAAAACAATGTACATGTACATGTCAGCACTGACTATGTAACATAAGTAATATGAGTACCTGCATAGTGTACATACTCTAATCAGTTTTTGTATCTTAAAATAGTGGGCTATATGGTCCTCTTCCATTTCTATTTATCCGTATCTGACATCTTTGTGGTATTAATACATCATTAGATTGGAGAGAAGTTAAGAAATATCTAAGTATTCTGACCAGTCCATCTTTATGGTACCCACTTGCCTTGATTCTGCACCTTCCCCCTGCAGATTAAAAACACTGGCCTTCTAGCATGGATGCCGAATATAATATATAATTATACAATGTACAATTTTGACATGTCAAATAACCATAATACGTTTTTACAACTAATGCATTTTGAGTTATAAGCTTACAAACATTGAAGAGCATCTGGTGTCTCCCAGCAGTCTGAAGGACAAGATCTCAGCCCTCTGAATCCTGTCGAGGATGGGCATTTCAGCTTGTAACGTGCTGAGGATGTCATGGGAGCGAATCTCGCACTATGTTTTAATAATGATGACCGCCTTCACATATGCGAGTAGATTTTTCTCAAGTGCACTTTACATTTTATACCCCTGTCCATATTCAGAAAATGTTCTCAAACAGTTCAAACCTGTGCTTCGAACGTAAGATTGGTGTAGGCTCTGTAATGCATGTGTTTTAAAATTGTAAAGTCAAGTCAAGCCAAGATTTATTCATATAGCACTTCTTACAGTGGCCGTTGTCACAAAGCAGCTTTACAGAAGATCCAGATCCAACTGCCAAATGAGCAAGCCAATGGCAACAGTGGCAAGAAAATCCCCCTCAGAGCAAAAGGAAGAAACCTTGAGAGAACCCAAGACTCAAAAGGGGAACCCATCCTCCTCTGGTCAACACTGAGTAGCAAAACAATAACATAACAAGAGCCATATGGATAAAGGATAAAGTTCTACAATTAGTACACCGTAGTGAATATAGAAAAAAAACAGAAGAAACCAGTCACTGGATAGAAGTATTTAGATTAACGAGTGATAACCGATGACTACTGTTAGAGGCCTACCAGTCAGAGAAACAAATGATCTATGAAAATGTCTATAAACATATATGAATAGATCTATGCAAACCAGAGAATGACTACTATTAGAAGCCTATCATAATGATATATACTGTGAGGCAGCTGAAACAATGCATATGATTAAGTAGTTCTAGTTTGAGTCTTTTGTAATAAGATTTGTAATAAGATTCTTGGAAACTGGTTCGCCCAGCTATACAAAAGATATTTGATAAAGAATTCAAAGTCACCCAGTGTTTATCTGATGCATTTTTGCAATGAAACCTTTGATGCAGAAACTGTTTACATATTAAACATTCTTACCTACCTGGCCAAAAAACATTATAACAAATTATTGTTATGGTCTAAGTCTGAAGTGCCCTCGGTCAAGGCCAAGATATCATTCACACAAGTTGCACAGTCCCTTGGAAAAAGTAACAAATGACTTACAAAGATCTGCCAAATTTTAGAAAATCTGGACAGCTCTTTGGCTATATTTGGATAATGTGATGTGATCTACAAAGCAAATATTATAGATTGATACTCTTTTCTTTTTCCATTTTCTTTCTCCTTCCAAATACTTTGTTCTGTTTATGCATGTGGACTAACCTGGTGAACGATGCTTTTATTGTAATATTGTGAAACCCCAATTAAAAATCAAATTATGACAAAACATTGGGCTATAAAGATGTAGCTTTGATTTTAATGAGCCTGACTCATTTTAACTTTTAACCAAGAAGCATAAGTTAAAAAGGAATTGCACTGGCTTTTAATTTAATTTAAAATTTAAAATTTAATCATTTAGATGTAAACAAAATCATTTAGAGTGTTTTGATGTGAAACCACTGCATTGTAGAAAAGCTTACCAACTCTGATTTCTTTACAGTGGTTTTGATTGAACCAGGGGTTGTGATAACAGTAAACCTATGTGTATCTTATGGGCTTTTGTATGTAATGTTGATTATGATAAAATAGTGGTGAATCTGAAGAAAAAATACAGGCTTTCTGTTATAAACTGTTATCAAATATGTATCTTAAAAATATGTTTTAGGTAAAGGCATGCTACTCAACTTTTGTAAAACAATGTCTCGGGTATCAGGCAATGTATTTGTATGCTATAGCTTTACCTGAGGCAGCTTTAGAAGCAGTAAATGCTTCAGATGTCTGGTTCCTATGACAAATGAACAGTTATGAGTCAATACATTTCTTTACAACAGAACATTTCACATTAAACAATCTAAATGACTTTGAATTTTAACCATTTAAGTATGCAGATGTTGTGGAAAACGGGTGGAGTTTCCTTTTAAGGTTGTGTTAATATATTTAATCTAATGACAAATGACACTGTCTACATAGGTAAACCATATACGTAAGAACAATTTTATGTAATAGCTTTATGTGAGGTGGACTGTAGAGGCATTCTGTAGAGGCACACTTTAGATGTCTGGTTCCCATCACCTATGTTGTGAACAACTTGGTAAGTATCTCTTGAGTGGTATATTTCACATCAAACCACTTTCACTTACTTTGTTTACACCTTACTAATTGAATTGTGTTGAAATTTTGAAAAATCAGTGGAATTCTCCTTCAGTGACCTTATGAGGAGGAGTGTTGTTTTTCATTAAATGATTAACTAAAGACATATCAGCACATTGTTCTGGTTAAAAACTCCAAAGGTTTATACATTTATAGAACTATTCGTATATAAAGACCTTTAGACCACAGTACACTATTGACCTTACAGCTTTGGCAGCTGGACCTCACATTTAACTGTGTTATTGCATTTACAAAAATGCACCAACTTTACCTTTCCCTCACTAGTTAGCTGGCAAGCCACCTTTAACTACACAAATACACTGACTTCATCTTATCTTACCAGCTAGCAGGCTTGCTACAAGGGAGACACTTTTAAATGATGTGGTGTTGGTCTGCTGACAGCAAAGCTGGCGACCCACTGGATTTTTGCTCAGGGTTTTACGGGAGGCCCACTGATGGTTAAGCAGAGTATTAGACAAAATGCTACTTTTTATCGCTCATTTTTCACTAACAGTCCAATTTACTTGTTTTCCTTTAATTCTTTCTTTCATTATACTTTGTAAATTAGTAAATTATCTAGCACAGTGTGAGCAACAACATTTTAAACAAAGTCATTTCATATTAGGCCCAGTCATTTTTCCTCAGTTGTTTGTAATATTTGTCTTAGTTTATTTTTCAAAATAAAAGGCTGTGTGAATTTCAAATCAGTTTAAGGAGATTCAAAAACCAGTTAGATGTTGTACGCAGGATAATAATCTGCGTAGTCTGAGGGTGGGCCAGCAGTGGCATACGCTGAGTGGGGCGCCGATCTTACCAAGCCAGCAGACTGATATATGCTTTCTTTCTACATATATGTATCTATCTATCTATCTATCTATATATATATATATATATATATATATATATATATATATACATATGCCATCACCTGGTAACTGGTTACTGATAGACTCATGTTGTCCCCCTAAAAAGAAAAAACACAGCAAAAATAATAACTGTACACTATTTTACAGTATTTTGTGGGCCATTTATGATTTTATTAGCTCAGGTTAGCTAGCTAAAGCTAAGTATCTATAGCTTGCAAGCTAACTTATCTAACTGAGAACAGTTTTACACATATACTGATTAGACTGTAATCTATGTTGACCTAATTTTGAGGGTTCGTTTTTCATGAAGTGTCCACAGGGCGTTTTTTCAAATACTGTAAAAATGAAACCCAAACAAATGAATGGCGTTACGAGGGCGTAACGGTGAAATGGAGCAATGGGCTGCCACTTCACTGCGTCTAAACAGGCTCTGTGTTAAAACCTCAAACTAAGCCTCGAGGCATTCTCGCAGCAGGTGGGATACAGGTGGGCAGCTGGGTCCGTTTCCCACCGTTATTTTTTTCCCACCTCTATTCCGAAAAGCTCCGCCTTCCTGCGCTCTGATTGGCTGGTACTTTGGCGGACTGCTGTGTGACTCTGAACTAGTAGCGGATTCTGACGCAGGCAGGCGGGGTGTTGCGGAATACGGGTGGGATTCACTCTAAACTAATACCGCCGTTGCTTTGCATGTTGGTCGTTGTCGTCAAGGACCACGAGTCAGCGCATGCGCGCGCCGCGCGCCGTGCATCAACTTCAGCTTATGAGAACGAGCGCGGCTTACAGGAGGCTGTTTATGTTTTTGTTTGTTTTTGTTAGTTTAAAATAGAGAAAAACAGTGACCGAGATGGACGGGACCGAGGCGACCCGGAGAAACTGTGTGAAAAGTCCGGAGTCCGGGACTCTGTTAGACTCTGAGAAAAACCAGAGCGGGTCGAAGGACAGAGTGACACTCAAAAAGGAGATCGGGCTGATGAGCGCGTGCGCTATCATCATAGGTGAGCTGCTCTCTTTCACTCCAGACCAGTGAGCTCTGTCTCGGGTTTTTTCTGTTTCAGCTGAGTCGACCCAGTGACAGAGAAGTAGGCTGACATGCTGCCTGTGCACGACAGGTAGAGGAAGCGGTGAGAACAAATAGGACGAGGTAACTTTATGAGCGCTTGCATCATTCAGAAGGAACAACTGTAGAGTGTAGAGCTGGGCTTACAGCGAGGCTACAGCGCTGAACAAGGAACACTGAAACATCTGTAGCGTTGAAATAAAACTTACAGTGAGAGAAATCTACAGTGTTGAGAAAGAACTTACAGTGAGGTAAGAGTACAGTGTTGAGATAAAACTTACAGTGAGGTAAGAGTACAGTGTTGAGGTAAAACTTACAGTGAGGTAAGAGTACAGTGTTGAGGTAAAACTCGCAGTGAGGTGAATCCACAGTGTTGAGGTGAAACTTACAGTGAGGTAAGAGTACAGTGTTGAGGTAAAACGTACAGTGAGGTAAGAGTACAGTGTTGAGGTAAAACTTGAAGTGAGGTAAGAGTACAGTGTTGAGGTAAAACTTACAGTGAGGTAAGCCTACAGTGTTGAGATAAAACTTATGAGGTAAATCTAGTGTTGAGGTAAAATTTACCTACAGTGTTGAATTGACATCTAAACCTACAGAGCTTAACTAAAACCTGAATTAAAAACTGACTTTCAGCTGTGTATCTCCCCACAGCAGCCCTCTACACTAGTAGCCCTCTACACTAGTAGCCCTCTACACTACGATAGTGAGACTTTAGGTGTGTAGAGAGGTATAGAGAGAATGAGGACTGTAGTCGTGTAGACAGAGTGACTCTGAGTAAAAGCTGCTTTAAGCGGCTCGTGCTCCTCCTCAGCGCTCTCTCTCTCTCTCTCTCTCTCTCTCTCTCTCTCTCTCTCTCTCTCTCTCTCTCTCTCTCTCTCTCTCTCGTGCGTTGCATCATTTCTTGGAGAAGCTGCTGCGCGTGCAGCGCCAACGTGGCTACAGCGCGCGGTCACATCACACACATTTCCCACTCCCTCTAAGGCTCCTAACTTCACATTAGTGAAGAATACGCGGTATTAAATAAACTTCAGATCTGCTTTAGACTGCTACACGCGTGTTGTGTCTAAAATGAGCCCCGTTTCTGCTTTGTTCCGGATTCGATGGAGAGGACGCATAGGAACACGTGGCGTCATATTACTATGCGGAAAAAGATACAGTGTATAATATTGCACCACGTGGTACTTCATGTGTTTTGCCAATTGCTTGAAAAAGTAACTTTACTTGGAGTTCAGTTAACATTTTAAGGCTGTAAGATTTTATTGGTGTGGTGTTTTATTTATTTCTATAAAATTTTGGACCTTTTTTTTCTTATTACTATTTTTAGATGCAGTTTTAAAGGATTCTTTAAGGATTGGACCACAACAGCTTGGTGTCCTGAAATGTCTACTGTAAAACTGATAATTCCAGTCTTAAAAATCTGATCTAAGCCAATGTAAAATATTCAATGCATAAACCCCTGTGACCGTCACAACAGTTGGATTCTGTATTGATGCACCATTATGTTTCTTACATGGATCACTGAGCAGATTGATGGGAACAGGCATCAGCATGTCTATAAACGAAATGCCCAAAATAATGCTAAACATACTCTACGTAAGAACCTTACATGTTTTCTCATCAGCTACAACTAGGCTGATCAACTTGGCAGATAACTGAAAGAATAGTTGGGTTGACTTGTAATATTCAGTGTTAGGCTTTGAATTGAAATGTTATTTACTGAAGGATTCACATGAGAGTCTTACAAGCTTCAAATATGACTGTGTTTTGGTTGATCTGCCTCAAGTAGTAAACTTTAGTAAACCCTGTATGGGAAAATGGATGTATGGCACTATTAGCTGATGGTTTACCAACACTCCTCATCAGTGGTAAAATCACTGTAAAGCACGGCCCTCGTGACTTTGATAAGCCACCCTTGCACAAGGTGTTAGACCGGTTGACCCAATAATAAGAGCACACTATTATTCACCTTAAAGTAAAGCACACAGGCATGCATTATGTCTTTGTCTTCTACAAGACCTTTGTGATATAATGAATAAAGATGGGTAAAACTTTAAATTTGGTGTATTGCAGAGACCTAAAGGATGAAACACATTACCACATTTATCTGTGTGCTTTTGGCCACATTTCCAGAGAACTGAACAAGAGCGATTCTTCTAAGATAATCTAAATCACATCTTAGAAAAAGCAAAGCCAAGGCCTTCATCCTTCTTCAGTGTGTACAGAGCACATGGAGTTCCAAATATACCAGTTGACAGATATGGCACATATCAAGTGTATTATCTTCATGAGTGAATGGTGAAAGTAGACTGTGAGATAACCTTCATCAGAGTCACTGAGTCACATTTTCTGGGCACATGAAGGCGAATGTATCTCAAACACATAAAGAAAATGTTAGCTTTAGGTTATTTCTGAGCTGCTCAAGCCACTGAAGGTCATCTGAGAGTAGGATGTGGGTGTGTCCTGAAGTTTCCACCAGTAGAACTGAAAAGTTGTTTTTGTAACATACACTACTGTAGTGTTTAGAGTATCCAGATCCACAACAGCCCAGTTTGAAGAAGTGCAACAACAGAGCCATTTAAAAGCCAGCAGCAGGAGCCAGCCAACCATACAATAGGTACATTTACCGTCTCCTCTGTTGGTAAACTGAGCTCTAGTGTCCGGCTGACCGTGTATCACTGCTGGGGGTTTAAATTCAGGGTAAGATTCATGCAAGAGTTTGCCATGCCCAGCTTAAATGCCAGCACTTGATGGACTATCCATGGTGGTAGAGGTCAACGTTGTAAGGTTCGTTCAAGAAAGAACGCTTCTGACTTTCTGGCTGAGCGCCACAGACAAGGGAGGCATCCATTCTATAGGAGTGTTACTTGTTCAGTCTAAACAGTAACTGCTTCCATCCCTCTCTGTGTCTTTATTTCTGAAAGAAACTCCCACTGTCTGAAAGAGATGGAGGATGAATGGATGCAAGAGAGGGGTCTATTTCCTCCGAATGGTTCTAAGTGGACAAGCGGCAAATTCATCTAATTAGTGAAAGCTGTGAAATGTATGGCTCAGTTCAACTGGAAACTTGTAGCTATTTGGTCTTGCGCCCCTCCATTGCATACAATAAACACTTAGGGATACAGTACAAAATATACATTGCAGAGAGTGCATTGGTTTAGTATACAATTACAATAAAAAGTTAAATAAAGTTAGTAAACTAGATATATTTGTGTGTATATTTAAATTTAAGTCAATACCATATTTACTGGCCATACCATACAGAGCCTTTGATGTATTAAACAGCTGTTGAATAAGGGTGTTGGCAATGATGATGTGTTATTGTTATCATAAATTACATCATGATACACTTTGGTAGAATTCTGAACAACTGTATCATAAAAAGATAAAATCTGACAAAAAAAAGACAGATTTAGACCAATTATAAGAAGCTTGTAATCAATCAGTGTATAGTAACCACCTAAATTGTGGTTTACAAGTAGTTGATTATACCATTAACTCATTATGCCATTATCTTATTTTATTCATTTATTTTATTAATTATCTTCCAATTTGCACCCGTTCTTTAGAAAAATCACAATATTGGTGGTGCACTGAAATGAAAAGTCTTAGCCAAAATCATAAGCAAAATTTGGGACACACATGTTCATTGTTGATTTACTGCTGCTCCAACTATTTGAATTAGTGTATGCTTACTGTCACAGGGGAGTAAGGGAAAGTGTTATGTGTTAGAATGTTGTTTTTGACATTTTATTGACAAGTTTCTGGCCGTTTTTGTCTTTTGACAAAAAAACAAAAAGTGTCATGTTTGACCTTTTCACCAAAAAAGTTCAGTGTCTGAAATTTTGATGCATCCCTACAAAATATTGTAAAACATATTATGTATTGTAAAAATGTCTTAAAATATCATGATGTTTTTGCTGTATTGCCCATTGACCACACATAGTTGATTGTAAGTTAGATCCAGTTTGGTGGAACTTACAGCCACTGGCAAGAAACATTTACACACAGTGCTTGGGCCCCTGGATGTACATGCAAATCTGATTCTGATTCAGTGAATGGACATTTCAGTCAAATGTGATATTTGAATTTGTAATTTGCCATTGTTTTAAATATATGGTGTTTCCCTGTACGTAACTAAATCTGTCCATCATTTTCACATGAATGAAACATTATATTAGCGTAACTATTGTGAAAAGGAAACTAAAGGACAAAACTGTTGATGTAGCTTATTTTATTCATTATATGTTTAAATCAAGTAAATTAATGCATCACTTTTTTTCAGTGCACAAAATTAACTTGAAGAAAAAAGTCAAGCACACAGGCCATGAAAGTTATTCCTTTAGGCTGCTCTCACTACACGTTATCAGGTTATACATGAGTCTATTGATTAGAAAGTTAGCCAGACTGCACTGTATAAGAGAACCTAAGGAGAGCTGTAGCACACACTTATTCCACAGATGCAATCTACCCTACAACATTTCCGCATATTCAGCTGTAAAAAGTAATTAGTTAGCATAATAAATTATTATAGCTGACTAATTTTTGTTAGTTAATTCATCGTACCATCACAAAGCTTACTTCATAGTGTAGTGCACATTGACTTGCCTGCTTGCTCAGCAAAGTTTGCCTATCACAGCAAGTTATGCTAATTATTAAATGCAGACTCATATGACTCTTAGAACTTGTTTGCATCGACTGATTCACATAGGCTAGGAAGGACGACTTTTTTTTGGTGACTGATGAAGACTCCCTAATCTAAGTGTCCTGTGCTTGCTCTTTCTTACAGAGTGGATCGAGTGCTCCTTGTGTGCTTTCTGTCCTCTAAGGAAGCATTTGAGAACATTTCTGTATTCTGAAAGCATTAGATAAGATTCAGTTGTAGCTTTAATTCTTCATAGATGTGAATAGACAGGAAATATGTTTTGTGACATGTTCTTGACACAGGATATCCTTCTGGAAGCACATGATACATGCTATGCCATGCATGCGTCATGTGTTAACCACAGTCAACTTACTGTTATTTCTCTAAGGCAAAGAAGATAACTACAGTGTTGACCTAAAATCAACAGACAGACATTGAGGTCTGCATTGAATGATGAGAGCATTTTCAAAACACCTCCAACTTTCTCTATTTTACTATTCTTTTTTCCTCCTTTTCCTCCTCTTTTTGTCTCCAATTCCACCCCCTAGTTAGGACTCCCACAATCACACAATATGACCAATGCTAGGAGGGTGAAGGCTAATACAGGCTTCCTCCGAGACCTGTGAAGCAGGTCCGCATCTTTTCGAACTGCCGCTCCCGCAACATCATTGGGCAGCCAAATGCGCTCGGAGGAAAGCGCCAACCGCCAGATCTGTTACGTCAGCTAACAGACATCTATGCTGACTAGCATCGCGTTGGGTGATGGGGGGGAGAAGGGGGGTCATCCTACATCCTACCCACCCAGAGAGCGAGGCCAATTGTGCTCTCTTGGACTCCCAGCCACAGATGGCTGTAGCATCACCAGGGATCGAACTCGCAATCTTCTGATGACAGGGCCTGTTAACAACATTGTAAAAATTGTTAGCATTATTGTTAATGTGGAGAATCTTAAGTTCAGAAAGGGCACTGCTTGACCAGTTTCAACTGATTCAGCTGGAAATGTTGCTTGATAATACTGTAGCATTGTCAGTAGAGTGTATGGGTTGTATTTGGCTTTGGATTGACTTCTCTTGTAATTAATGTAGCTGAATAAGCTGATGATGGATGTTCTGTGGGTCTCACATAGTTCTAACTGACACTTTATGTTCAACCACCAAGGCCTTGTCAGCGTTTTCTGCTCAACCTCATTTATCACCAGTATTTAACCATTAGATGTTATCACTCATTAAGTAATTAAATAGAGAATCACTGTTTGTGTCAAAGTAAACCCCTCAATAATGCATTAATAGGATCAAATATTTACGCCGCTACATTATTTAACGTTGACACATTTTCCTAGTTTGAACATTTGAACCATCCGTAGGTCCATCCTGAAGCCCTGCTGCTTATGTGCTGTTTCTATGATTCTGCAACTGCAGTCCTATCATTCAAATAGGTTTTAAAGACAAGTTGCATTGATGGCTTTCTTGTTATTTCCAGCTACTGTCATGCATACATATCATGAATTTGTTTATCACCAAATTATATCGAGTGTGAAGTATCATCAAGCAGAACACACCACTGATCAGTAATTTAGCAGACTACGCTGGACAGTGCTTACGGGAGAAGTACAGACAAATCAGTGAACAGCAAACTAATAAAAGCTACAGTTCCCCTCAAAACAAGACGCAACGTAGTGGTATTAGAGTGAGAGGGTACAATTGTGAAGTAGTTGGAACATGAACCCACTGTTGCCCTCAGTTGCATTCATATGTTTTTTTGAGTGCTTACGATTCTATATATAACCATTGTCTTTACTAAAGAACCCTTGAAGAATTCTTTTAAGGGTGTAGAACAGAACAGTAGCTGATCTGAAGTGTATTTGAGGTTTCAACTGGTGTAAAATACTATTTCTGTTTATCTAACCTATGTATTTTCCATTGCATTGTTTTTAGTTTTGAGTATTTATTTAATAAATATAGTTAAATTGCTGGTTACCACATAAAATCATTTCTTTAGCTTGAACTGGCAAACCATTTTTACAGTGCTTACTTAAATACTATATCAAAACAGAAGTAGTCTCTACACTTCTAAGGGTCTGAGATATTGAGCTCTGATCCCACAGTCAAAAGTGGGTGCACTTCCATGACCTAATCCCAGTACACTGGCCGGATTTGAACCGTCTTGCGTATTCAAAATTCTTGTGCAGGTTATTTTTTCATCATGAGTACGATAACAAGTTTAGACCAGTTCTGTGTGTGCGTGACCATCACTAGCTCATCAGAAAACAATGCAAATTCTGAGAGTTGAGTGAGTGTGACTGGGGTTGGTTTGGTTCCACCGTGTCCCATTCTTCACAGAAACCCCTGAAGCTCATGGAGAACATTCGCTCGCTACTGAACTCTAATCCGTGTGAGCACCAAAACACAAAACCCCAAACAAAGGAGATTATGTAATGCTGCAGCCCCTGGACTCTCAGTGAAGGTCTAGAGATCAGTCCTGACAGGAGGAAATCTATTGGTTGAAGCTTCTCAGGCAGAATGGTTAGTGTACTCACTCACTCACTCACGGGACTGCTCTGTTCAAACTCACCTGCTCCTCACCAGTCAGTTCTACCTGTGAACTCTAATCCTGATTTTGAAACCTCTGCTTTTATTGACTTTGCCATTGTTGATATTTTTTCTTTTCTCTCTTTTTTCTCTAAACTGTCTCAAGCATTTTGACAGCTGGGGAGAGCCGGCCTGTTCAGGAAAGCAAGGGTCAGATCTGTGTCCTCATGATGGAATAAACAAGAACATCAGCAGAACTTTAAACACAGATTTTAATCTGATCATTATGTTTAGCCAGCGACATAGAGAGCAAAAATAAATTTCTGTTATAAAGACAGAGGGAGGGCAAGTAAGAGAAAGAGAAAGGCTGTGAGAAAGAGCGTGATAAATTCACTGCACTCACTAATTCCCACTGACAAATGTCATAAAGCCTCAAACCTGCACAAATGTACTACAGTAAACTCAAATGATGCAAAAGGCAACTGGCTTTTAGATATTCAAATATTGAAAGGTGGATGTAAGTAGCATAACGTGAGGGAAAAAGACTGTAACAACAATAACAGTCCAGTTTTTCACACTTCTTTATATTTTTATGACGAATATGAAGGGACGTTGTTTTAAAATTGTTGTCTTGTTTTGTGCAGGTAACATCATTGGTTCAGGTATCTTCATCTCACCAAAGGGGGTTCTGGAGCATGCCGGCAGTGTGGGCTTCTCACTCATCGTGTGGGTTCTTGGCGGAGGAATCTGTGCCCTGGGTTCCTTGTGCTATGCTGAACTGGGTGTCACCATCCCCAAATCAGGGGGAGATTACTCCTACGTGACTGAAATCTTTGGAGGATTGGTGGGGTAGGGTGTTCTTGTGTTTTCTCTTACTTTATGCTCCATTTGTGCAGTCAATGGGTGTTCGGCATTACTGGCTGACGTGATCTCACAGTACTACATTGCTTGGTTTGAGGTGTAATGATTTTGTAAAAATAACATATTGTTTAGGTGATCTAAATATGATATGGTAATATGGTAATTACAACCCACATGATGCATAAATTATGGTCCTCATTGAAGCTGTCCCTGACAAAGGATATTCTTAGTTATCCAGAAGGCCTATTTTTAACTAAAAGTCTACTAATCACCCATCCCCAAACATTGTAAATAAACAAGTAATGAAAACATGGGACATAAAATTTTAAGGGAAGTTTTCTCTTTGCTATGTTCTTGCTTTTATGCTACAATTTAGCATGACAAGCCCACATCACATTCAAAGTTCCATTAAATGTAAAATGTAAAATGCTGTTTGAATCATTGACATTCCAACTTGAAATTCTACATTTTTGTTTCATCTGCCTTGCTCTTCAGTACTGCATTGCACAATTAATGCACATGAACAACACAGTGAAATAGAACAACATTTAACCTTATACCGCTGTCAAAGCTTAAAAGAAGGAAATTAAATCTGATCTTTTAATGAGCACTGTGGAGTATCTGGTGCACATAAAGCCCTGACAGAAGAGAAAGGAGGCAGAATAGTGATGCTCACTAGCTACATGGTTCAAACTTCCATTTGCAGAAATATCAACCGTTTTAGCTTGTTGGGAGATCACAAGTGTAAGACCTCACTATGCCCAAGCCTTCTGCTTGGAGTCCCTTCTCCCCCCATCAACCAACAGGATACTAGCCAACATGCACATCTCTTAGCTAATGTAACAGAATTAGCAGTTAGCGTTCTCCTCCAAGCATGTTGAGCTGTCCAATCAAGTTGCGTTAGCAGTGTATGAAAAGATGTGGTGGCTGAATTTATGTGTCTTGGAGGAAGTATCTGCTAGCCTTCATCCTCCCATCTTGGTAGCATCACGTGATAGGGGGAGACCTAGCTAGCATGTGGAATTGGCCATGATTCAATTAAGGAGAAACCGTTTAAGCAAATGTAAAAAAGAATGCACCTATAAAAATAAATGAATAAGTAAAAGCATAAATAAAGGAATAAATGCAATTAGCGGCATTTATTTGACTGAGAATATTACGGCTAGTTGACTTGGAGGAGACAACTGTTCTTATGCTGATACTGGAATGTATATCAGCAGACATCAGAAAACTGCTGTCAAAGCCTAAAAGAAGGAAATGAAATATGATCTTCTAATAAGCTCTGTGGAGTATCTGGTGCACATAAGGCCTGACAGAAGAGAAGAGAGGCAGAATTGTTATGCTGGTTGGTTGCCACCTCAGCCCTGTCAAATTCCTAGACACTCAATCAGTGGTGTAATTTTTTGCAAAATTCTGTGGAGGAGTATCTGTGCTCAAGATGCAATCTGAGGTAGACAGATGTCAGTTTAGCTGCAGAACTTACTGCAATCCAGTGCTGCTTAGCGCTTTTTGGACAGTTGAAACTTTCCGAAACAATTTTTTGTTTAATAACTAAACATGTTGGTTTTGAAACAAACCTCATTAAATAAAATTACGTTAATTAATGGCATACGTTTTCCAGATCAAGTAGAGGAAAGATTTATGGAATCACTTAATGTTGAGGAAAAAAATTTGGAATCACCTTGTAATTTGCATTTCTACAACACAAGTCTAAAAATACAAATCAGTCTGCAGTTAAAAGGGAGTGCTTGCAGACCTTAACACACTGTAGGACTTGAAAAACATTGCTCCAACAAGAGAGTTGTCATTGAAATAATGAAAAGGATTGTAAAACTCCTTCAAGAAGGAAATCCAATACAGAGTGTTGCAAAAGATATTGGTTTTTCCCAGTCAGCTTCGTCTAAAATTTGGTGCAAGTTTAAACAAAATGGGAAGATTATAAAAGCATACAGGTAGAACAAGAAAGACATCAACACGTCAGGACAGAAAACTCACTGCACAAATGCACAACAAAACAAATTAAAAACAAGTGGGCGAAAACAGGAGTCAGTGTTTGTGACAAAACTGTTAGATACTGGCTGAATGAAATGGGATTTACATATAGAAAAGCCAAAAGAAAACCTGCACTAACATCTCAACAGAGGAAAACATGGTTGTAATGGGCTAAAGAGAAGCACTCATGGAGTGTGGATGATTGGATGAAAGTGCTATTCAGTGATAAATCACGAATGTGCATTGGCCAAAGAGATGATGCTGGAACTTTTGTCTGGTGCCATTCTAATGAAACATATAAAGATGACTGCCTGAAGAAAACAATCAGATTTCCCCACTCCATTATAATATGAGGTTGCATGTCAGGTAAAGGAGAAGGTTTTTGAGATATGTTTCACAAAGCCAGAATGTTCAGCTATTGAACAAAACCAGTTTTGCGTCATATCCGTGATTTGTTCATCCCTTAATTTGAGAACACTATGACTGATTAGTTGGCTAATTGACTTAGAAGGACAGCCATATTCCTTATAGCTACAAAATAGTTTTGCAGGGCTATTCAGTAAACTGATACTGAAAGGTCTACCTTCGTTACGATTGCATATACCAAAGCAAAGTGATAGTAATGATTTGCGTAACATGTATATTTATTTCCACCCCAGGTTCTTGTTGCTCTGGAGTGCAGTATGGATTATGTACCCCACCACACTGGCTGTGATCGCCCTCACCTTCTCAAATTATGTGCTGCAGCCCGCCTTCCCCAACTGCCTGCCTCCCTACATCGCCACCCGCCTACTCTCTACCATCTGCATCTGTGAGTATTACACACACCAACAACCATTCAGCCCAGAGTGTGTGTGGGCAGCCATAAACTCGGCTGGGCTCATGTCAGTATCAGAATATTTATGAAGCTGGTGGGATTTACCCGGTCAAGTGGAGTCCACTGATGTATGTGTGTGAAAGAATGTTCTGAGTGGCCTTGTGACTCAGCTGGTTTAGGCCTGTATGATCTGGTCTGAGTGGCCGGAGCATATGAGAAGGTGTGTAGGGGGTGTGTGGTTGTTTGTGTTTGTTCATGGGCCAGTTCCTAAAGCATGTCCCTTAGTGTCACAGGCAGAGCCAACCAGTGGTCCATATTTATTTTTGGCAGCAGAATCCAAAGCATATCATAAGCACCAGAGAGTGGCTGACAGAAGTAAGGAGAGAGAGAGAGAGAGAGAGACAGAGAGAGAGAGAGAGGAATTGAAAGGATCAAAAGACATTTACTCTAAAATCTTCCACATCTTTATCCATCTATTACAGCACTGGTTTTCCATAGGTTGGTGTAAGGTAAATTCCAAACCTGCTCCGTAAGCCCTAAGTTTTACCCTAAAAACATTAGGTCTATATAAAAGCATTTTTGTTTAAAAGTCCTATGTTTAAACCTGAAATCATTGTGCTTTTGCCAGTGTGCAGCTGTTGAGTGTGGTCACCTTTTAGTTTTTAATCAATGCGTTGCACTATATTGCTGTTGTCGGAGCAAAACCTTGTATCTCCATTTTTGCCGTTTTCAGTTTTTGGCACACTTTGAAAGTTCCTGTTGCCCTTAACATTGTTTATAAATTTTAAGATGAACGGACGGAAGTTTTTTTCCTTTTCTGTAAATTTATCCTTTTGGAGATATGAGGTTTTTTTTCCGACAGCAGTGATATATATATATATATATATTTGTTAATTGTTATCGCAGCGTTGGTCCTTGGAGACTATAGGAGACTATGACATGCAAATGAAAAATTAAAAATTAAAAATTTTAAAATAAAAAGGACCAGTTTGAGAACCACTGCTCACTTATTTAGTGCAGGCTGTGAGCATCCTGACCAGACCCTTTAAGACCATTTAAGTCTTCCAATAAGATGATGAAATTGACAAATTTTGGGACACTGGAGTTGATCACCATCCGACGCCTGGAGTCCAAGAGAGCATAACTGGGCTTGCTCCCAATGGGTGGGTAGGATGGCTCGCCTCTTTTCCAATCACTCAAATAATGCTAGCCAATGTAAGTGTTCTCCTACAAGCATCTAATGGCATTGCGTTGGAGACCTAGTTAGTGGGTGGGAACTGGCCACAACTAAACTGGGGAGTAAATTGAGTCTTTAACCACATCAAGGTTTCTTCAGTTCTGAAGCGTGTTTTTAATCTGCAGACATAATGCAGTCACAATCACAGCAATATAACCCTAATCTGGTATTTGTTCATAGTGTGTAGATCTGATCTGCCATAACCCACTCACAGGTTTCATTTGAGGTTCTTCAGGCACAGTTTAGGACCTTTAAGACCTATGTTAGGTGTGGGGTTTGGGGTTTCCTGATGTTGTCAGGTTGTTTCCATGCTGAGACCCGCTTGAGACACCATGCAGAAGGTTGGTGTGGCTGCGATGGCGTCTGAGCACCTGACCCTCACACGGTGAAGCGTCAGACTCTATAATGGTGCCAGTCTTTGAGGCCACCGCGGGCCCGGGGCGTGCCGCCCGCATTGTGCATTGTTTTTGGGGCTGGGCTGTCGCTGGGGCAATTTAACGAACGAGGTTATAGAGGCGGGAATGCCGCTGAATTCAGCCAATCCAGTCAGACATTCACTGTCAGAGCTTAAAAGACAGGAATGAAATATGATCTTTTAACAACTGTGGAGTATCTGGTGCACTTAAAGCTAATGGAGGAGAAAAGAGGCACAGTTGTGATGCTAGTTGGGTTCAGAGGGCAGCACAGTATAAAGCAGTGATGCATTGATCTGAAAGTGAAAATTTTATTGCATTTACATTCTATGGCTGAATAAAATAAAACATTGCCTTGAGTATTGTTTTCATGGTCTCTATTCTATTCTATTGCTGTACAAATACATCCCTCAGTCTCATTTTCGTATTCAGTGTGTTTTAGAAATAATTCTGAATGATTTCAAATTGATTCAAATTGTAGTGAAATATCATTATTCCTAAAGACAGGAATCTTTGTGAGGTGAGATATTTGCAATCCTACTGGGGTGGGCGATATGGTGAAAACATACTATTGTAATACTTAAAGACATTTTCTTGATACATGATATGCATCTTAATATTTTTATAATATTATATAATTATATAATTATATAATATAATATTAATATAATAATCTATAATAGTTTTTCTGAAGTTTGATGAGTTGAAACACAGACAAAAGACCCAGCCACTTTTAACAATAATATGAATACAATGATTTTATTCAGCATTTCACTGCACTAAATTCAATTAAATAAGCCCAAGTTTGCTCTCTTTGTAATTAAGCATGCAGTTGGTCGGTATTTTTTAAGTACTGATGATATCCAAAACATGCTCAGAAAGCATGGGTAAAGGCCTATTATGTATGAAAAAGCACACGTCATGTTTTAAAAATGAACACACACATATATTAATGCTGTCTTCAAATCGAGACTGAAACTGACGTTGCCGTGTACATTTTTTTACAGGAGCCCGCTTGATTTTCTGTGTTATACGGATGCATAAAAATCAGGTTGACCAGTCAGAACTCCATTGTCATGGTTGCAGCTCAAATGCGTACGAAGATGTCGGCAAAACAGCTCATCTCGCTTGTAGCAAAGCATGAAAGCTTACATAACAACCAATATGTTGACTATAAAAATGCAGAATTTAAAGAAAATGTATGGTGGGCCGCAGCTGAAAGGCAGGAGAAATGTCAACATCTGTATATATGTTTTTTATTTTATCTAGGAGCATTCTTGTCTGTTCATGCCCACTTTTAGCTTCCCCACTAAAGAACCCTCATGTCTTTGTTTTTGTTGTAGTTGATGATGCATGGCTAAATCTCTGCAGGCAGATATCATGTTTGTACAAAAAGGCATCTGTATGATGTGGTGTACTTTTTAGGAGATCCTCAGACCGCAGCATCAGGTTTTAGATATCAGACAGTACAGCTTCCGGTCTCCACTGTCGTACTTCAGGCAAAATGGGCTGTTTCAAAAGGCCTCAAGCAAAATGACTTCAGAGAAGAAGGCATCAAGCTAAGATATTTCAGATGGTAAAGTTTGTGTGGCATTCACAATTAATTACAGATTAGTGATCAAATTTAAGACAACAAATACTACAAGCACGCCTTTTACTGAGCTGCACTTTTATTATGTTCTTTTATTTTACATAGATTAAGCTGTGCTGTCTCCTGCATCCGCTGCAGTGCCAGGAACCATCTCAAAAATTACCAAATGAAAAGTGTTACTAACCGTATTGAACGTTTACTGCAGTTATTTTCCATGCAGTTACCTGGATGAGTGGACTACTGGTACAGTCCTAACAATAATGATAAGTAACATCATATTGCCCACCCCTAAATCCTACAGTTAAGACTTCTGTAGGACTGATCTGAGCATTTGCTGGCTCACAAACTTCAGCTTTACCCACAGTTTCTCAAACATGAGAGCCACTCACACAGCCCACTGTTTGGCTAGAAGGAAACAGTAAGGGGTAAAGACTAGAGACGCAAATCGTCATCCAAGCTGGGCCTTTTTCTCTTCAATTATGTGCATATATTGTTGGTGGATGTGCTGTAAAACTTGTTTCTAGTGTGTATTGGTTATGGTGTATTCTGTTTGTACTGGAGTTGATCTGTTACTTGGATTGGGTTTGTTTTCACGTTATGCACTGTATGGCTGTTTGTGTGTATGAAATGGTGTGTGTGTATATATATGAGAGAGAGAGAGAAAGGGTGAGAGAGAAAGATAGAGAGAGAGAGAGGGAGAGAGAGAGACTTGCCCTCCCCTGCTGAATGTTCTGAATGAATGTCACAAGGTCAGCCTGCTGCAGTCTGATTGCGCATTCACACAGACACACAGACAGACACACACGCACACACACACACGGACTGTTCCCACTACCCTAAATGGCCCAGAAACACACAGCTGCTTCAATAGACAACAGAACACCAAAACATGACATACCAACACAAAAATACAGTTAAACACAGCAAACAACAGCAGCCCTACAGCACCAAACACTCTCACCCAAGCCTGTTATAGAGACCCCAGAACTGGCCAAGAATGACTCTGTGACTCTTGCCTGTGGACAAAAAAGGATATAACTGCAAGTTTGTTGAACATTTGTGTACTTTATAGCATGCTAACTTGCAGTGTGCAATTGTAGATACAAACACTTACATATTTCTGAGAGCTGAAAGCTTTTCTGAGCTTAGGTTAGAGCGAGAGAGACATAATGTGCTTTGCACCCCTCATTTATTTACAGGTTATTTTTCAGCATCAGGATAAACGCATATACATTAAGAAATGTATACAAGCATATATATATATATATGTTTGTATATTTTGTAAAATATACATACACTGACCGACCACTTTATTACATACATCTCCTTGTATCCACACTCTTTGTGTCCGTTATTAGGTACATTTACCATATAGGAGCACTTTGTAGTTCTACAGTTACAGACTGCAGTCTGCCTGTTTCTTTGCATTATTTATTAGCCCCCTTTTACCCTGTTCTTCAGTGGTCAGGACTCCCACAGGACCACCACAGAACAGGTATTATTTGAGTGGTGGATTACTCTCAGCACTGCAGTCTGTAATTGCAGAACTGCAAAGTGTTCCTATGTGGTAAGCAGACTTGATAAAAAAGAGAATGAATGTAAATACAAGAAGGTGTACTTACTTAAGTGTATATTTAACAGAAAATTACATAGAAGCCTCAACAGCTAATTATGTAATTTTTTTTAGTAATTAGTGTGTCCACCCTTTGCTTCTGTTACAGCTTCATTTATTTTTGGGAGACTTATGCTCAGT